GTGTGTGTGTGTGTGTGTGTGTGTGTGTGTGTGTGTGTGTGTGTGTGTGGTGTCTATTCACAGATTCTTCCGAGGGCTCTGCCCCCCACTATGAAGTGTTTATAGAGCTGAGGGGGCTGAGGAACCTGTCTGAGGAAAATCGAGACAAGGTAAATGAGGCAGGAGATGGGATCTAATTGCACATCCACTTCACTCCATACAATCCCAAGGTGCTGTGGGGGCAGAAGAGTGATGGAGAAGGATGCCGGGGGAGGACCCCCACCTCGCAGGGCTCTGGGAAGAGGAGGAGGAAAAACACACACACACACACACACACACACAGCCTCACTCAACTCCAGTCCTTCTGCTTTCAGCTTGACCACTGCCTCCAGGAAGCCTCTCCCCGCTACAAGTCGCTGCGTTTCTGGGGCAGTGTGGGCCCTGCCAGAGTCCACCTGATGGGACGTGGAGCCTTCAGAGCATTCCGGGCAGCCCTCACTGCCTCCTCCTGCTCCCTCTTCCCTCCTGAGATGCCCCGGGTCCTTAGACACAGGCACCTGGCCCAGTTCCTGCAGAGGAGGGTGGTGTCCTGAGCCAGGCCTGCCCGCTCTCTCCCCTCAGAGGCCGCCTCGCTCTTCCCTCTGAGGCCTTTCTGGATGGGGCATTCGAGGGAACTCGTAGCTGAGGCCTCAAATCTCTGAGTCACCTGATAGTTGTCCAGCCCAGCTGCTGGGCCTGGGGGGACCTCCCCCAGCAGGCTCATTCCAAAGCATAGGCCTCACGGGTAGAGCAAATGTCTGCAGTACCTTACCCATATCCTCCTCGGCTCACCTGAGAGGACACTGCTGGAGTTTCCACACACAGCATGGCTCCCTGTGTCCCTTAGCTTGAGGATGTTCTCAGGCCACAACTGTGTGCTTGGCCAGTGCATGAAGCAAACTGGAGACCTTAGGGAGTTGATGGCCCTCAGTCAGGTGAACAAAGAACAGAGGCTGTTGAATAAAGACCCTCAGTGGGACAATTCTGAAGTGTATTCTCCACTTCTCCACGTCCCAGCAGAAGTGAGCTTCAGTTGCCCACTGCAGAAACCCAACTCTTAATCCACTTCACTGGTTTCCTCCATCCCTGTGTGGGTTTCTCCTGGGATCACCTCTCAAATAAAGTTCTTGTACCCAGATTCTTGACTCAGGGTCTGTTTAAGGGGAAACTGTGTAGTGATTCCTCATAGTCTGCTCCTGCCCCAGTCTCCATTCTCTGTTCTCTGTGCCTTGACCTTGACTCATCCTTTCTCCTTTCATCCTTGGCCTCCAAGGCTTACTCCACCCGTTTCCCACTCCCTGCTCTGGGCTTCATTAGGCCCAAGTATGTGTCGTCGGGCGCTCTCAGGAACCCTTAACATGGCCTCGGCCAACCCAGCTGAGAGTCATCTTCCACCACCCTCCACTCGAGGTTTAACTTCACTGTAGAGGGGCTGTTCCCCAACGTCACCTACATTGATTTAGCACTGGTCCCTTCCTGGCCCCACATGCACAAGCCACATCCATGGTGGGAAGGTGGCTGTCATGGATTAAATTATGTCCTCAAAAATATATCTCAACTTTGCTAGGCCAAGATTCTCAGTATTATATAATTATCCCAATGTTAATAAGGTGGGATTACAGGCAGTTATGTAAGGATGTAATTGTCCCCTTTGATCTGCCAGTAAATTACTAGAGGATTAGGGTGAAATGCAACACCTTTAATGAGATCACAGATCTAATCTGATGTAAGAGTTCCCCTGGAGTGTGGCCTGTATTACCAAGAGATAAAAGACACGTGAACAGAAAGAGGGAGACCTCAGTGTCACCAAGAAACAAGAACTAGGAGTGGAGTGTGTCCTTTGGGCTGAGGTTCCTGTACTGAGAAATTTCTAGAACCAGGAGACACACAAAGAGGAAAGTTTTCCCATAGAGCCAGCACTCAAAATTTGGAATTGTGGCCTCTTAAATTGTTGGAGAATAAATTTTTTGTTAAAGCCATTCACTTGTATCTCTGTTAGAACAGCACTAGATAAGACCGTGTGTCAGATAATCAACTGTTACCATAGATAGAATCAATTTGGGTTAGTTGTCCATTTGACCAATGAGACACTAGGCCTTATGATGAGGCCAAGGCCGCATCATTCCTCCAAAGTAAAGACAGTTTCCACCGTGTAATGGTTAGCACTCTGGACTCTGCAGTAAAGACAGTTTCTATTCCTGATGTATTGACAGCCTTTTAGTTCTGCCTCTGAATTGCTTCTTGAGTCTAAGCACTCCTACCCAGGACCCTGTTACCAGTCACCTGGTCCATGATCCCCTCTTGCTAAAACCTTCAGGTCCACACTCACTTCCCTAGTCACTTCTCTTCCCTTTCCTTGGGAGGAATCATTGATCATGAGGACATACATGTCCTCACACACATGAGCCTTCCTGCCTCCATTCAAGTTGTCCCATCTGTAGAATGCCTTTTCCACACTTTCACTGGTAACACTGAGTCAGATCCCATCTCCTGACAATCCCGTATGCAACTGAATTAAACACTCCCTCATCCTGAACCATCCCTGTGATCGACTTCAGAATGGATTTCTGTGACCCATAAGATCTCACTGGCTCATTTTTGGAAGTAGATAGGCAGATCTTTCTTCCTAGTCTGCTTAGTCTGGGAGCTCTGGTGAAATGTGTTTGGCATGATAGCAACACACAAACCTCCAGTGATGGCTGACTGGTGTGTTGACTGGGAATGAAACCCAAGTCCCCACTGAATCACTACCATTCTCACCCTCTCCAGCTTGTCTGAAGGAAACCCACTTCTTTTTGTTGTTGTGTACCTCAGGTCGGATCCAATTGGCACAGGAGGAGATTGCCCCTCCAGTGGAGCATCTGGTGGATTCGAACTGTAAACCTTTGGGATTGCAGCTCACCTTCTTTCAAATAGGCAACCAGAGCTCCCTTAGGAATCCTGCTTTTCATGCAAGGTCTTTGAAGACCTTTCTCACTTAAGGTATAAGTTATAAGTGATTGTCTCAACTTTGCTGTGCTTGTCTATGTATGTCACTTATTTACCCCTCTCCCTGAACTGTCATGTTCAGGTTGCCATCCTGCCTGGACAAATGAATTCCTTAGAAGCTGGTCCTTATTGTAGTCATCACTGTCAGGGCCATAAGTGTTCCCTGAATAAAGGGACACTGGGCCTCCAGATGGCTCACCTCCACTAGTGGTGGGGTAAGATGTCATCCCTCCCAACCAGGCAGTCTGACCCAGTAATGAAGCTAGGAGTTAGAAGGAGAACAGCAGGTCTGACTTCTTCACCTCCCATTGCCCAGGCTGGAATTTCAAGGTTTGCCATCTTGGAAGTTGGTAGAAGGGGCAGGAGAGAAGAAGACAACTGGGGGTGTGGACATATTGAGAGCTTCTATCATGGAAGAAAGTGGCCCAGGAGCAGACCTCAAGGTCAGTGACTAGGAGCAGTGATGGACTGACCTGCCGCCGGGCTGCCCACCCTTCCTGTCCTCCTACATGTGGACAGTGGCCTCACGACAGCCTCTAATTAGCAGCTGCCCCATCCCCACCACCACATTGTCCTAAGTCAGCGCCCAGCCAAGGCCGCTTTTGTGCTCGCAGATTCCTCAGTTCAAGGTGGCCTCATTAGTGCTCGGAGACCACCCATCTCCAGGGAGCAGGCCGACAGATGAGGGAGGGGCCGGGGGCCAACTCCTGCCTTCAGACACCTAGGTGGCCATTCCTTGGGCCCAGCCTAGAGACGGCCCCCCTGTGGAAGGCTAATCTTAGCTTTGCCTTTGTCTGCCCTCAGAGTGGACGCAAGTGCCCATCTCTCCCTTGACATCTCAGAGCACTATTAAACCCCAGGCCCTTGAGAGCACGTCGCAGTCAACAGCCTGAAGATTTCTGCCTCTCTGGACCACTGCAGACACCATCTTTCCAAGCTCCCCTCTCCTGAGCTCCAGGTACCATGAGCCCTTCTTCCACAAAGGTAAAGACCTAGGGACCAAGGGTGACTTCAGACACAATGGGGATACTGGGAGAAACAGCAGAGGTGACTCTGCTCAAGACCCTTTCCCCTCTGGACTCTCAGGCAGGGAATCTGTCTTAGCTAATTATGGGTGTTCTCTATTCTATTCTATTAAGAGTTCACGTTTATTGATCATTAATCATACATCAGGTGCTATGTTTGCACATGGCATCTCCTGTCACCTCCTAATAGCTTCGTGTAGTAGGAATTCTTTAATACTTTAGCTAAGGAGGAGGAACCATGTCCCCTGAGAGACTAGGAAACTGATCCAAAGGCAGTTTCTACTGCAAGGGAGCAAGTGGATGAGACAGCACTTGAGTCTCACTTGACCCTGATTTCCACTTGTTGGCCTGCTATGGGAAGTAGGCCAGAATAAAGGGAACTAAATAGAGTCTCTTTTCCCCCTGAGTTTACAGACTTCTAGTGGAAGTAGACTCAAACACATTTGTTTATAAGAGAAATGGTAAGAGCTTTAATGGGTGCTCAATGGATTAATGGTATCCAGAGGAGGGAGAGATTAATTCTTCCCAGGGGATCTCAAAGGGCTTCCTGGAGATGGTGTGTTGGGCCTGGATGGATGAGCAAGCAAAGGAACCAAAAGATCTTTCTCCAAAAGATCCCTTCCGACAGACAAGCATAAACAAGTGTGGAGGCTGTAAGGACAGCGAGCCAGGAGGGGGCGCTAAACGGGAAGGGCGGGGCCTGGGCGGGACGGTGGGCAGGCCCCCAAGCGCCCTGTCTCCGCCTCCCTAGGTCTCCTGGGCCGCTGTGACGTTGCTGCTGCTGCTCCTACTGCCGCCGGCGCTACTCTCGCCCGGGGCGGCCGCGCAACCCCTGCCCGACTGCTGCCGCCAGAAGACGTGCTCCTGCCGCCTCTACGAGCTGCTGCACGGCGCCGGCAATCACGCGGCCGGTATCTTGACTCTGGGAAAGCGGCGACCCGGGCCCCCAGGTCTGCAGGGTCGGCTGCAGCGTCTCCTGCAGGCCAGCGGCAACCACGCGGCTGGCATCCTGACTATGGGCCGACGCGCAGGCGCAGAGCCCGCGCCCCGCCCCTGCTCTGGACGCCGCTGTCCTGTCGAGCCCGCCTTGGCCACTGGGCCTGGTGGACTGTCCCGGATCTGAGTGGGTGTCATCTCCAGAAAAAGGCAATAAAGATGAGTCTCAGAGTTGCTGATCTCTGTTCTTGTGTGGCCTAGCTCCGCCCCACAGGGGGCGTTGAGATGGTGGTGTACCTTCCCATTTGGAAAGGACCCATAGCTGACCCTCCAGCGGGCTTTCTCTACTAGTCAATCTTTGTGGAACCCTTTGCAGATGGATGTGGGGTGGGAAGAGAGGGTGAAGAGAAGAAACAAGCAGATTGCATAGAGGAGAGGGATCTAGCTGCTTTCCTTACCACTTCTATAACAATTGTGTTTGGGGATATAGCCTGCAGAAAAGACAAAATACAGAGTTCAACAATTAATCACCCATAGTGGCTGCGGTGTGAGTGTGAGGTATGGGGAGCCACTCAAGCCGGATTGAGAAGGGTCTCACAAATTATTAGGCTGTACACTTCATAGGTGACTTGGCGCCCAGGCAGTTCATAAGCAGAGACAGGACAATGATCTATCAAATCTAGCCCAAGATACCTAAAAGTATGAGGCACAGAATGAAGTGGCACTTGTCAACAAACTAATGTCCCAGATAATGCTCAGGTCAGAACTATAGGGTGAGTGGAAGAGCACTAACTGGCACTCTTGTCCCCATCTTCCCCATCCCATTGGCTTTAGTTGTTCTGTACAAGGAAGCAGTCAATGCCACCGCAGTCATTCTGCTTACAGTAAGAAAGACTTGTGTCTGGTCTCATCTGGGTTCTTCTTGCTGTTGCACTGGTTCCTTCCTAGAGAATACAGATGTCACAATTCTGTGCACCGCTGGAGATTTGCAAGCCATGAGCCTCAAATCTGTCTCTCTCAGCTGCAGGCTTGAAAGACAGCAGGAAGAAGACGAACAGAAAAGATTCGTTCCAAAGATCTGCATTATGCTACTAAATTCTCATAATTGCATGCGTAAAGAATTTTATAGATGAGGATGGTAAAGTTCAAACAGTCTAAGTCACACAATCAGTCGGTGACGTAACTGGAATTCTGAACCATGCACTCCAGAGCTCTTTCTATTCTAAGGTGCTGTGCTCAGACGCAGAGCTCGTTGGCAAACTGAGGCACAGAATTGGGTTTCCAGCCTCTCATTCTCCATCTGCAAAAGCAGCTTCCTCAAGGCTCGCTAGCTCGGACTAGCACCCCAGCGCCAGCAGGCGGCACTGCAAACCCGACGCCCGGCGAAGCGTGGGAGGCGCGCGGGGAAACCCGCGGGGCGGAGCCACAGGACGAAGCTGGGAGAACGCAGGGAACCACGCGCGGAGGCGTGGCCACGCGGGGCGGAGGGGCGTGACCGTTGCACAAGCCCGCCCCACTTCTTCAGGTCTCCCCCTCTCGGTAGGCGTGCCCCGAATGAATCCTCTCCCCTGGAGACACGCGCGGGCCTCCCCCCTCCCGGAGCGGGGCACCCGAAGGGGGTGCGGGTTTCGCTGACGGCCCCTCCCCGTGCTGGGCCACGTGGCGGGCGCGAGCCGAGCCCGGGGAAAAGAACCCGGTCCGAGGGGAGGGGGGCGGACACCGAGGCGGCGCCGAGCTGAGCCGAGCGCGACAGGGCTCGGGGTACAGAGGCGGCGGCGGCAGCAGCGGTGACAGGAGGGAGGGGAGCAGGCAGGCGGGCGCATGGGGCGCTCCGGCCCCGCCGGCAGCGCGCCCCCTCCGGCCTGGCCGCGCTGAATGCCCCCCAGCACTGCACCTCAGATCCGCGCCCGGGGCCATGCCGGTCATGAAGGGGTTGCTGGCCCCACAGAACACCTTTCTAGACACCATCGCCACTCGCTTCGACGGCACACGTGAGTGGGGCGAAGGCTGAGACTGGGGGTTCACAGCTCTCCATCCAGGTCTCCTGGTGGGAGGCGAGGGGAAAGAAGAGTTGAGGACTTGGGAACTTACGGGACCGAGGAAAAGGAGCTAGGTGAGGTGCGCACTGTGAGAAAAGATGGGGAAAGGGGAGCTCTGGGGTCCGAGGTTAGGGGGTGTGACTCGAGGCAAGAGAAGCTTTTTATGGATCAAAACGGAAGAGGGGGCCTTGACTGACACCCACTCATGGACAGACTTCTTCTGGGGGTGTGTTTGCCGATGTCCCAATTTCCTAATGGAGTGGCCTGGTACACTAGGCTGGACTCCCAGACCGCTCCAGCTCCCTCTCCTCGAGAAATAAAAACAGAAAAGAGCAGACTTCGCCCAGACTCAGCATGGATTAAGGTCATGCGCCCCAAAATCGGCATTGGCGCGTCTGTGTCTGAAGCGGGTGAAGCGGGAGGTAGGGGTGGTCCATAAGATAAGGATAACTCCCTGCTCACCCACTCTAGGTTGGGTTCCAGCTTCAGCACCTTGGACAGCTGCATGTCTCCCTCCCAGACTCCTCTCCGCCCTTCCCTTATCCTACCCAGGAGCCTAGAGATCTCCTCCTGCCCTCTAGGGAATCCTGGACAAGATCTAGAAGGTGGGGGAGCTGTACCCGAGGGCGGAAACCGAGCCGCTGGGGCCCTACCCGCCTCCCTCCCCCACCACACCTCCCCTGTTTCCATAGCGCCCATCACCAGGGCAACGGACCCTGGGATGGAAGGAGGCAGCTCCAGGGGCCCAGGCACCTCCTGAGTACCTTAACTATCCCCATCAGCCCCTCCACTCCAAGACACTCACTCCTCCTGGTACCCCAGGACTGGCTATATCTCAGATCCCATCCCTTAACTAAGACTTTATCCCTGGATGAGGACAGGAGCCCAGCTGGGGCCTCCCACCCACTGGAGCTAGAGGAGCCAGCTCAGGTTCTCCTCCAGAGGGTTAAGGAGCCACACCCCACTGTCTTCCTCAATCAGACTTTGAACACTGGGGACAGGGCCCTGAAATTAACTGAAGAGATGCTGAAAAATGAACCTTGGTGGTCCAGGAATGAGGACGCTACTCATCACTTTCTCCCTCCCCACACACTGTCTAAGTTTAGATAATGTCTTTCTTTTGTTTCCTATCAGTACAATGGGTGCAATGTCCCTAGACTCTGTATTTTTCACACTCTAATGGGATGACTATACGGGGTCTTTGGGCACTGTGTAAATGTGGGGGAATCATCTTAACCTTCTAGAGAGAGGATCCTGCTTGCTCTGCATAGTACTTACAATGTGCCAGAACTTGTTCTTTCTAAGGTAACTCGTGTAACCCTCACAATTACCATGTGAGGAAGATACTATTATTATCTTCCACTTTACTGATAAGAAAGCTGAGATGCAAGAGTTCATTAACTTGCCCAAGGTCACACGGGGATGGCAAGGGTGGGTACTGGAGCCCATGTTCTTACTCATAGAGCTTTGCTGCCTCCTACGGTAATAGCTCACCAGTTTGAAGGCCGGGGGATGAACTGCATGACTTCTTGGGTTCCTTCTCCAAACCCTCAGTAATCCCTGCCCCAGTTCCAGGTTACCTGCGGTTCCTCTCATTTCAGAATATTTCAAAGGGGGTGTCCACGACCCCCTCAAGAGCTGGGAAGGTTCTAACTTTGTCAATCTCTGACCACAGATAGAGCAATGTGCCATCTACCTGAATGTTGAGCTCTTCTCTCGGCCTTGACCTGACCTTTATCTCTTCCTCCCACAGACAGCAATTTCTTGCTAGCCAACGCCCAGGGTCCACGAGGCTACCCAATTGTCTACTGCTCTGACGGCTTCTGTGAGCTCACAGGCTACGCCCGCACCGAAGTCATGCAGAAAACCTGTAGCTGCCGGTTCCTCTATGGCCCAGAGACCAGTGAGCCAGCCTTGCAGCGACTGCACAAGGCTCTAGAGGGTCACCAGGAACACCGGGCTGAAATTTGCTTCTATAGAAAAGATGGTACGTAATCCAGCCTGCCCTCCAGCCCTGCCTTGACCCCAGATTTTAGCCAGAAACTGCACCATGGAAACCTGGGTGGTCTTCCTCACACTGTGCCATTGTGTCTGTGACCCTCTGTAGGTCTGCATTTCTTTCTATAAAACAAATGAGTTGGCTACCAAGCTCTGGGGTTCCTTCCAGCTCAAAAACCTTTCCAAGCCTTTTGATGATGTTTGACAACCCAGGGGGAAAGAGGTGTTATGGGGTCACTTAACCTCCCTCTCCCTCTCTCCATACCTACAGGTTCAGCCTTTTGGTGCCTCCTTGACATGATGCCCATCAAGAATGAGATAGGGGAGGTCGTGCTGTTCCTCTTTTCCTTCAAGGACATCACTGAGAGTGGGAGGCCAAGTCCTGGGCATGGAGACAGTAATCATGGTAACAGCAAGTCTGGGAGTGAGGCATGATGGGGTCCACAGCCCAGACCTCAGGTCAAGATGTCTCCCTGTTCACTCGTCCTCATGAAACATTCCTCCACTCATCTCCACATCCTTCCTCCCAACAGAAAACTCCCTTGGTAGGCGGGGAGCCAGCTCGAAACTTCGGTCGGCCAGGAGGCAGAGCCGTACTGTCCTGCACCGACTGACTGGTCACTTTGGACGCCGGGGTCAGGGAGGAATGAAGACACATAATGTGAGCCCCCTCACATCCCAACCACTACCACGTCCTCCAGCCTTGATCCGGAACACCTTGCCCCGTCTCCCTCCATTGACTCGTCCCTGGCTCGTGTCTCTCCCCACTTCCCAAGTACTCCTCTCTTGCTCCAAATTTCCATCACATTTCCCTTATTTCTCTGGGTGACTTACATTACCCCACTCTGATGATGTCACAGGATGGGGGTTACTGAAGCAATCACATAACCCAGGGTGACTGAGGTCACATCACACGGGGTGATTCAGGGGAGAGGGCCTGGCTTCTAGACCTATGTAACTCCTTTGCACCCTGACAAAGCCAGAGCACTGCATTATCAACCCCCTGTGCTGTCTGTCTGCCCTCTTCCCTGGAACATGGCTACCCTCCACTGTGCCCCAAGGACCCAGAAGGAACTTGAGGGGGTGTTAAAGACCCCTCAAGTTAGAGCATGTGCCTGACTTGTCATAAGCCTAGAACGTGATTGGTTGA